CCCCCCCCTCTTCTATTCTGCTCCCTCAGACACAATATCCCCATCTACAGAAACAACCTTTTGTAATCCAGACATGCCCCTCTCTTTGACACCCCCAAAATCACATCCCTAATTTAGATACACCCTTTCCTTCCCAGCCATACCCAACTTGACCCCATCAAAGAGAAATCCTCCCATACACAAAGAAACTTTCAGACCCCTAGACATGCCCTACATCAGCTCCATGGCAAGATATGAGGAGACAGAGACAATGACCATCAAACGACACTTTCAATTGTTCCAAGACTAAGATATGGTGTACATTTGTAATCCCCAGACTAACATCAGCTGGCTCCGTCTCCTCTGGAGCCTCCCCAGACACACCACCCCTTGCTTCCCACTATGCCATGAGAATTTTCCAGATCTTTGATAGCTCTCTATCCTGATGACTGCAATTAGTATTCCCTTATCTACAACCAAGTGTGTTAACTTGAACTCCAACAAACTTTGATTAAATCATCACATTTCACCCCCCTCCTTTTTAAGTAAAATCCAAATGTTCTTTTTAATTCTATATCTATTGTAAATTTGTGTGACATCCACAAACATTTTTTCTTCATAAATGACTACTTTCTATATTCAAATTCCTGAAATTTCTAGTTTTCTTTTTTCGACCAATCAAAATAAGTTTTTGTCACATATCATTAAATAACAAGTTTTAAATGGCCATAGATGTGTCCGACACTTAGACTGCTGTGACTCAACACGGTCATGTTCTTATTCCAATATGTTAAACATCAAAAAGGAAGGAAATCGTTCAAATATGGACTGTGATCAGCTTTATGCAAAATAAATGTTTTACAGTGTCGATAAGAATGTTTCAAATGTAAATTAACTGTCCAAGTGTCCAAGTATCCAACACATGGCCCTGTATAGCTGCATTACTGTGCTTCACACAATCAGATCAGCCGAGGAGGAGGAACAAACAGACATACAGCCAAAACCTGTCACAAACTATCCACAACCTTTACCAGGAATGTACACAGTTCCAACGATTTCTGTTTCAACAATTGAATAAAAGTGAAAGTTCCATTACACGACTGTATGATTTCAACTGAATTGTAAACAGTGTGACAGCACGATTTACATCAATAATGGAAATACAATGACGAAACTGATCTTGTATACAGTTATTTTTATTTTGTTTCATAAATCATGGAATATAGCAATGTAATGCTTTATAAAAAAGACTATTCAATCAAAGGTACCATTCCCAGTAAAGAATGTCGACCATTTACTTTGACAAATTGTCTGGTTAGTGATCTGCAAAAAAATAAACAAGACAATATACTGTATAAACTCCACACAAACTCAGCACTATCATCCACACAAGATGCAAAATGACAGACTGATATCAGAGTTATCTCCCTTTGACTTATCCATTTCTTAACTTATCCAACTACAAATTTTCATTTCATTTTTACGTTTAGGGAAACTGTGAGTAAAAGGAGTTGTGGATTTCCCAATCAAGGGAAATAACTCCAACTTTGGGATTGGAACACAGCAGAAGTCAAGCACAAACATCCAACCAGCACACCTGTCAGAAAAATGGAAAAAAGTAGATGAAACGAACCTTTACCTGGACTGAGTAAACCCGACAAACCTGCATATTGCTGAATTCCGGAATAGGCTTGGCTTAGGGCATCCATACCCGAGTTTGGGTTGGAGCCCAGACCATTCATATTGTTGGCCATGCCACTGGACGATAAATTGTTGTTACCAAAGTTCTGGAGGCCTGTAATTCCAGCCAGGGAATTAGATGAAGTGCCTAACGAACCTGCAAATACAAAACATCACAAGGAACTTAATAATTGATAAAGAGCTCCTATAAAGAAAACCCAGGCAAAATGATCCAATATAGGCTATGTAATTAATCATTTTAACACAGACATTTGAAGCAAGGAAGTATATTGCTTGACCAAATAATTTAGCTTGGCAACAGTCTTAGGTTTGGTATTTATGAAAGATGTAGGTCAAAGCCTTACCTTACAAACATTCAGACACACAGACAAAGAACACACAAAATGACATTTATTGTGATACTTTTTTCATAAAGGTAATATTCTTCATTAATTTATTTTTCTTCATTATTATGCAAGTCAGAAATTAACTTAATATTTCTTTCACCAAGGCCAAACAAAGTTAGAATTTTAGTTCCAATTTTAGCTCATAAGAAAAAGAGTATGTAGGTTAAGGGAACAATTCTTCTTCTGTAGATCATTTTCTATTGTAAATATTGTGGTCGCACCAATAAGTTATAAAAATTTGATGACGCATAAGCATGTCTTCAGTGTTGTTTTGTATGGCCTGTTGATGTTTTCTGTAGACAATTTTTTATACATTTTTGGAAAGTTTTCCTACCAGATTTACTGTGTAGTGGTTATAACAGAAAAGAAAACATCAACATAAGACATTCACTACTCCAAAAACATGTTTCCTAAGTAGAAACAATAAAGAAAATTACTTCCTCTAATCACAGTAAACAGCACTACAGAAAGGAAAATAGAAATGCAGCGTATGTCAGATTGACAGCGCTCAATACAACACACTTAAACACTTCATCTCCTGGTCTGTACCATATGTGGTACCCAGGATTATGTAACTTCACAAGTACAGGGTACTAAATATCCCTGCACATCTATACATAACACTCGGGGCATTACTCACTGTTGAATGCGTAAATGATAGACTGCATTCTCTTTTTAATTCAATTTTTTCAAAAATAAATTTCACAGTGCTTCCATCTGTTTGACAGCACTATATTTTTCTGATATATTTATACACAATTTGAACAAAAATGTTTCATGCAAGAACTGGCGATGGGCAATAACTGACAGATGTTAACAATTAAAAGAAATAATAGTGTACACAACACACACCAGACATCACAGACAAATGAGCGATACAATATCACTATAATACACAGGCAGTACTTGAACAAATATCTTCATCATGTTAAAAATGATAGTACACAGCAATAACGGTTTGTGTATATTTCCTGTATTACTTATAATACAAACATCTCCCAATTATCTACCATAGTACAAGTTAACGTTTCTCCACAACAAAGAATTTTGCGGTTTGTGCATTTGGTATCCAGTTGGAGGGGTGCCACTGTGGGCAGTGTAGGAGAACCAACACAACAATCTACTATATAGGACCACACTACGGACAACAGAAACACCTCACCTAACTGTCCTCCACCGCGGTGAGGAAAGGCTGCGGAAACAAATCACTCATCAGCTCTAACCTTTATCTCATACTGTGTGGAACTACCACCAAGTCTAATTTACCTTCCTGTGCCATGTTACTAGTTAACCACAGTACAACATTTCGATGAACACAGTTCAGTCTTTACTACAGTTTAACTTCAGTTTTCTATCAACGTTTCATCTAACTGATGTTACTAGTTTGTCTCAGTCAGAAGTCATCAATTTTATAGTATCTTGTTCACTGCAGTTCATAGACAGCGACATACAAATTGAAATTCCTAACCCCACACCATAGCTACTTTTTAATATATTTTTTTCTCTCTCGCCTTAAATATTTTACAAACAATGTTTCATTTAAAAGAGAAAAAAAACATGAAAAAAAATCATAAACAATCCTTAAAATTCAAATTTTCTAGAAATCAGAAAATTAGGATACAAATTATAATCAATTTGATTAAAAAGTTGCTAACTGCACAATTACATTTGTTAGCTATCTGCAATATTTAATTAAAACCAATTACAGGTCCAGCAAGAGTGTATGAAACCTAGTTCATTTGGCATGGGTTGCTTTGTAAAACTCTCCCTATCCACGTCCTACAGCCAACTCCCATGATAAGTCTGCCAAAAACAGCAAAGTGAGCGGGTCAAGTCAACCCTTTAATTTCTGTAACCCTTCTTATCTTTCAGGGATATCAGACTTGATACACATTAATTACATCATGTTTTCGGTCCAATAAAGTCTGTAAAACAGCCTTCCTCATCTCGGTTGGTACTCGAGTATCTCCTAACTATATCTCCTCTTCATTTGCTAATGCTTTAAATATTAAACAGTTTATTGCAAAATTTTTAAGTTTTCTCATAATATTTTGCAAAATGCATGTTTTAACATCTTACAAGGGGGAGATATACACGACTAGTTGAAGTGTATTTAAGTAGATGATGGATCGAGAAAATAGACCATTTACAAGTTTCTGTAACAAGAATGTTGGGGACTTGCTGATCTAGTAAGAACAAGGGTAAAGCAAGGCCAAACCACATCTGTGCTACTTAACAAGACATCAAGGACTAAAACCAACACAGACTAGTAAATAAACCGTGTAAGGCAACATGCCTCTGTCTGATACAGCCATCACGGTTGACTGCCCCCACAAAAGATCTGCCATCTGATGTACATGATCAGAATGATCCGAAAAACAATTCTGCTCACTTATGGCCAAGATGCCTCCATATGGAGGAAGGTTTAGGGGTTTCACATCCGTCTAGTTTAATCCTGTGCACTGGCAGCATGCATTACTTATAGAATTTTGGCACAAAGTTCTATACATGTCAAGTTTGTGTGCAAATGTAGGGCAGAATTACACCCCCTTAACTAGACTTTATTTAGACCTGCAAACCACCTCTTCAACATCTCTTTAGTAATGAAACAAACTAGTCACTGGTCCCATCCAATTACAAAAAGACATGGTCTACTAATACAGCCATATATTTATAAGAATTCTGGGGTATTTCACAAATGTTTTAGGTTTGATGTTCCAATGTTCTTTTGCAGTTCTAGAACAATGACCTGCATATATATATATATTTATGTCTATTTAACAGCTTTATGATCATTTAAGGACTTGCTAAGTTCTGGTGGTGGAGGAAAACCTTCCTGTCCGGAGAAAGAAAACACTGACCTGGGCCCATATAGACCTTGAACCTGTGACCCTGTAGTGGAGGCCTAGTAATCATAGAGGGTCAGACCCATTTACCAGTTGGCCACCAAAACCCCTAAATAAATACGGTAAGGCTACAAATTCAAGTCCAAATACCAACATTACCCAAGTGATGTCTTATTTTGAAAATGTAAATATCACTTGAGCAAGTATCTGTAAATATTCACTAATGGCAGTTTCGAAAGATTTGAAATATTCTCACTCTGGAACGATTTCTACCGGAATTCCTAGAATGCACATGTGGCGCGTTCCTTAGATAAAGGGCCTGTTTGTGACTAATTAATGGTGTAAAACCTTACCAGATACATTGGCTGAACTCGTTGCCCCTAATGCTGCTAAATTCTGCATCCCTAGTGTGTTGAGGGCACCTACAAAAACACAAAACACATTTTTACCTTCTTGAGGTAAATAAAGTTAAGGGTATCCAGCTCCAATTGAGAAGCTTGCAATTAAATCTCAACATCATTTCCTGTTTTCAATTAACATCAAACCAAGTCCTCAAGTACAGTTATGATGAGAAACAATTTCAGAGGACATCGTAAGGGGAGGGAGGTGAATTTAGGACAAAAATAAATCCTGTAATCTTGAGTTATTACTCATATCATGTAACTACTATATTCTAAACAGCAACATTGTATCACTCCTCCAATAACATAGTAAATACATTAAAACCTGAAGCTCCCCTATTTCTAGCAGGAGGAGGACTTAGTTGTAAGTGTGATTACTGTAATAGGTCAAGTAAATAAATCCACCAGTACACACATTAAGCAAGTCAAAATTTAAGGAACCTCTTAACCCTTTCATCCCAATGCAACTTTAGTAGACTCTACTATGCATTGATCTGGATGAGTCCATTATGGTCTACAGTGGTGAAAGGGTTCAAGAGATTTTTTCTAATTATAGATATTTAAGGAGATTTAAGTCTTGTGAAGTTTAAGATTACCATGGGTTTAGCTAAATAAGCTTCAAGCAGAACTGAAATTTAGGGACTGGTAGTATTGAGATTTATCGCTAAGATGTAAAACAGTTACAGTTCTGACAGGAGGCAACACCCATATTCATTCACGTTACATGCTTATTTGATTTAAATGCAGTCATTTGTACAGACAATAAAATCTTACCATTATGTCTCTATTACAATGGAAAGTTGTCCCGAAATCACGTATTTTGCATGTAAATCAAAAGCTTGAATGACCTTGAACAATTCTGCTAAATTGAATTTTAGCTTTCTGTCAATAAGTGTTTCCCTAATGCATTTACAGGAAATCCATTTAAAACTGTATTGGATTTCCAATATTTTATCCTGTGCCAAATTCAAAATGTGCATTTGCGCAACATGAGCTGCTCTTGGCAGGAAACCTATCTGGGTTATTTCCCTGTTCTACAGCAGTATCCGATACCGAAGGCATGGGTAACCGGTCTCCCCTACTAGTTGAAAGACTTTTTATTTAGAGCATGACTAAATTCCTGCCTTCATATTTCATTTCACAGCAAGATCTTATAGCTTGATATCATACAGGATTATAAGTAACATTTCCTGTAGAAGAGTTTAAGTTTTTATTTTATCAAATTTAAAATTCTAACATCCTAAAAGGCAGCTTCATCATAATTTTGTAAGGACATCCTTTGTTTAACGAGTAGCAACACGGATGTTTCTATCTATACATACAACCACTAAAGTTCTGTAAAATCTACAAAACCTATCCCAGGGACACTGTCGTAATCATACTAAAGCATGCTTTTAAACAGCAAAGATATTTTAGGGAATTTCTGAAAATGTTTTAAATTGATGTATTTGAAAGAAAATCTAAGCATGCTTTTAAACAGCAAAGATATTTTAGGGAATTTCTGAAAATGTTTTAAATTGATGTATTTGAAAGAAAATCTATTACAATGTTTGGAGTCATGTTTTCGGTAACATAACACCACTTTCCTCCCCAGTCATGTGATAATTGGGGGTTTCAACCATAATTGGTCTAAGTATATTAACAAAAATTTATTATGATTGCCAACAATAAAATTTAACTAGTAAATTATTATTCTTGACAGTAAAAAATGCAGGCTTCAAACAGCTGCAAAGGGCAAGATGAACTGAAATGACGGAAGAAATAGCTAAAACAGGTATTAAATTATTGCACTGCACGATTCTTGGCCCTGAGGAAGGTATTGGTTTGATTTTCACCTGCATTGTTTGCTGCACCAGCTAATGCTGCCAAACTCTGCAGATTCTGCAGATGAAGATTGTTTGATGCACCGTCACCTGCAAGTAAACAAACGAGCACACAATGAGACACCTTGTCACTGTATATAACCGTGTTGATCGTCTTTCACCCTTTTTTGATCTACAAATTTTGCTCATGTCTGCCATCCCTGTGAAAACAATTTGCTCATATATTAAGCCTGCCTTGATTATAACTCAAAATTCCTCTTATATTACATGCAAATTTATTTCCATGTTCGATTAACAAGTTAATTCTATTATTTGACATTCTCATTCATACTTTGAAAAATGCATTTTATTAACAATATTATTCTACTAACTCGGTAAATACAATTTTTATTTTTAAACATTCTATGCTAGATTAGTATAAACAAAATAAATGAAACTAAAGAAACATCTGCCAAATTAATTCTCAAAAAAAGGAAAAGCCAAAATTAGACTCTAAATATTATTATGAAACAAGGGATGCATTTAATGTTACATAACAGGACAAGTTAATTTTGTAATTAAGCAAATGATGATAACATAACATTGATAAGCTAGAATGCATTCCTCTGGCATGCAGTTAATTGGAGGTCCCATCAATATAATCAAATTTTTGAAATATTTCATTGGTCAGTTTGACAAATTGATCAATTAATTTAACGATCAATGCAGAAGAGATTTTCCAATACAAAACCTTCAAACCTCTACAAGCTTTGAAAAAAAATATTGACAAAAAAAGTAAGCATCACATCAAACAGGTCTACAAGGTTTCTGGCATCTATAACATTCTGTTTTGTGTTTATTTTCTATTTCATAGACAGTTTCCTGAAAATTTCAATGGTACAATTTTTTATCATCTTTATTTCTATCTATCTGCATCATTATGTCATATAACCAGAAATGGTAGGGAAAAAACAGCATGGCTAAAACTTTTGAAAGTAGTGAATCTTTCCGGGGGGAAAAATACCACCGAATATTAACACAAGCCTTGGTACCTCAAGGTTTTATCCCTTTGGGACATCAGAAAAGTAAAGAGTTTCAAATAACTATGTTGTCCTTCAGAAATGGTCTTCTTCAACTTACAACTGAAAGCTAATGTTATTGTTGAACTGAAATTAGTAGGTAGGTTTAATATGCGGATGAAGCATGACTGGAGTAAATTCTTCAAAACATGACAGCATCATGCAGGAGTCCAACAAATAGAGGTTTCTGGAAGTTCATAGCTAGCTTCACAGTTCCACAAATATCTAATTCATCTCTCCACATAACACTAATGCTGTCACAGTGGACAAAATCTGAGGAAACCAGATTCATACCATAATCATACTTATTTTAGCTGAATCAAAGTTTTCTCAACTCTCAAAGTATTTTGGACTTCTCAGCCAAACAAACTTCTAAAATGGTGAAATCATAAATCACTGAAGCAAATTTTTGTGTGAAAATAATGTCACCGAGAATACAAATTCACTGCGAAAATTCAGTTATCGCAAAAATATGTAGGCTTTCTTTTTTTGAATATCCCATCCGATTTATATTAGACATTTAAAAATATCATTTTTGTAAATCACTTTGTTTTGTTACACTTTTAAACAATTGAATTGACCAGCAATCTTTGTGCTATGATAACATGAAATACTAAATTTGAATATAAACATTTGTTTTTACAAAGATGAAATAAATTTTATGGAAATTGTGTCGCTAGGTTCATCATAGTATAACATGTACACAGCAAACATACCTAGAAAGCATTGGAAACTAAAATGAAAAGTCACATACTGATAAAGAGACATGCATACAGTGACGGACATTAGAGAGACTACAAATGCACAAGGACAAACATAGTAGCCAGTGAGACTCGGATCAACGATATCTACACAATCCAGATCTGTTGTAGGAAACAAAGAGACTTCAAAAGGCTTGAGATAATTCAAGGCATAACTTTTAACGTATTACATGAAATACCTTCAAAGGATACCACCATGAAGATTTCCATTTCTTTTATGACCTCACGATACCTTCAAATACTTGCCCAATAACAAGGAAGGAGCCGTCTCAATTATTCATGGCGTTATGGTTGATGAAGAGACTGGAGATTAATGAATCGCTGTATACTTTCTGATTATGTTATCAATGAAATACACAATGTAATTTTGTATTCTCTAGTAGTACAATTAAGTGCAATTTCTTGTTTTATATTTAAATGTCTTTTCACAAAGCCAAAATATTGCACTGTTACTGTCTAGATATTTCTTGCTAAGACTTGCTGTAATAGCTGAAAATACTGATATTTTTCTTTGGGTTTTAAAAAGACTATATTCATATTTTAAATCCTCTGTAAGAACACAGTTGTTTTCCAAAGTATTCAAAAACATCAAAAATTATGCCCCGACAACAGAGTGCAGCCAAAAACTATGTACATCATGCATCTTCGTGTCACAACGTAAAATAATGGTACAATATAGCCAGGCAGTATAAAGGTGGAAAATAAGATGAAAAAACAGGCAAAAGACAGCTTTACAAAAACAAACTCAAAACTGCCCCCGCCCCCACCAAAGAGTGGCACATTAAAATTGATCCATGTTTTCACTACCCTATTAAATTATGCATATCTGTCAAATATAGTCTTTAAGTAACATATTTTGTAAGCGATTGGTTTATGAGCACATAAAAAGTGCAATATAATGACAAATATTAATTAATTTTTCAAGACATTTCAAAGTTCTTGCTTCCAAACATGTGCCGTAAAGCTGTCTTTTACCCGAATATTATACGAATACACAGACAAACAAAAAATGAAAATAAGAAAAAACAAAAACGAAATCAACGTATAAAATATTTGAATGGTATGTGATATATATATATGTAGTATACACAGGTAGCTCTGACATAGCTGTAGGTCAGCATGTACACTGGGTGGGCGGGGTGCTACTTAGTCAGTGGGCGCGGTCCTGTACCTTGGCCTGACCCCATGTTGGAGCGATTGGCAGTGTTAGCTCCGGTACTCATACTCGTGGGAGAAGTAGGGGTGGAGTTATTGCCACTGTTGCTCAGCCCCGCAAGGGCCGCTAGCAATCCTGTAGTAGGACATGACATATAGATATAGACACAAAATAAACGACACATGGAAACCAAACTCAAATCACACCTTCTTCTGTTACTCATGTTATAACGCAACCTGTGTAACTAGCCAATCAAAACAAGATCTTTTATCATTTACCAATAAAAAAATCTTTACCAGCATTAACATTATCAATGATCTTGCCACAGTTACAAAAGTTGTAAATTATATCTCTTTTTTCAAAACAATCACTTTAACACTGATAACAAAATCAGAAATATCAAGCTCAGAAAAATGCAATCTTCATAGAAATGTTTTATGAAACCATGGTCAAGTGGTTAATCATAAAAGATATATATCTCAAACTTGTTATCAATATTGCTTATAACCAGACAGAAAAACATGTGATTTCAATTTGATTGCTATTATACAACATACAACATGATATAATAAGGTCAACGAGTGTACAACAACGGGACAATTACAATATATACCGACATCAAAACAATTCAAATTAAAAGGAACATCTTCAATTCAAACGAAACACACAAATCAATATATATACACATTTAAAATTAATTAAAATCAAGATAACGGATCATTAAAACAGATTAAAACTTTATAAAATCAAATTATTATAATAAACAAGACATAAAACTGAACATAAAACTCAACAAGTAAATAACGTAAGATATTAATAATCAATAAAACATCAGCCATTCAACAAAATCCAAACAGCAAGTGTAAAGAAAATAAGTAAGACTTTAAGAGAATAAAACGCATCCACAATTCACACATGCTTAAATTTGAAACAACAGTTGCAGCAAATAGAACTCGTTAATTGTTCTGACAAATCAATTTTATCTTGTTAATTGAATTGTAAGAATTATTTGCATGTTCAAATATGGAAAATAATTTGCATGATTTTAACCAATCCTTACCAGCAACACTGGTAAAGTGCAAAGCAATGTTTTCATAAATCACTGCATCAATCTCATCGTTCTCCGACACATTCTCTCTTTCTCTCTCTTACCCTTCCTTTAGGTGACAAATATGAACTGGCAGTTACACTAGCGCAAAGGTTTTAGTTATAAGCAGAAATCAAAAAGAAAAATATACACCATACAACACTTTTCTAATCAATTCTACAGAAGGGGCAATGTAAATGAATGTTGGAAACTAATCATTAACTTGAGGTAAAGAACACCAAACTTGTTTACACAGAAGTGCCAAGTTACTTGCATGCTGTAATTCAGCCCAGTTCTGATATGAACAACTACATACAATGTATCATTGAATTGTTACTAAGCTGTGTGATAAGGAATGAACTGTGCATTGAAAAAAAGCAAAATCAAAGGACATGAAAATAAAGAAAGGGTGTTGTGCAGAAGAACAGTAGTTTATCTAACAAAACTTGTTTACATAGTGAATTTGAAATGATCTAGAATCTAAATAATTTTCTAGAATCGAAATAATGTTCAAGTAGTTTAATATAGCAACTAAAAATCACATTCAAAATCAGTCAGGTTTTAACAGCATTAGAGTAAATTAAGAGCGTATCATAATTACAATTTGTGAGTGAATGATCATAAAATTTCCTGTACATTATTTCATTGTCAAATAAGGTAGATTTTTCATATTTTTCTTTTTAAAGATAAAGAAAAATGCCAAGACTTGACAAATAAATAGCATTCACATACAAATGAGAACCAGTAGAACAGTTCCCGTGCAAGGAAGTAAAGAATTATACAGAAGTCACCTACACAACATCAAAGAGAACGGTGCTATCGAGACCCCAACATCACATCATACATAATGACCGTGTACTTAATTATAAGTCGAGGGTGTCGAAAACCAGCACAGAAGTTCTACCAACACAACATGGTCAAGAGGGATGCTCCACTACACAGTGACTAGGTATATCCGACTATTGAGTTATACAGTATATAGGTTGTTGTAAGATGTACAAAGAAAGGTAGTAGCTAATATATGGATGAATATAAATATCAGAATGCGAAATGACAAAAAAAGTATAAGCAACAACTTTTAGATACAAAAGAAGTTCCACTACAAATGTACAATATATATATCTACCTGGGTTGTTGCTAGCAGCAGCCGCAGCTGCTGCTATTAGCAATTGCTGGACGCCGAGAGAATTAGAACCTGCAGAACAAGGTACCCACAGGTGAGTTATAGTTCCCGGGAACATGTCTATCAATCAACATGTATCACTACTAAAACACTTATTTCTCAAAGAACAATTCAGTTATCAAATGTCCATTGACTTTGTGATACATTACATCTACATTATAATAGAACATTGAATATGTTTAAACAAAATAATATTAAGAAATTATCAACCATTACAAGAAATCAATTATTTAAAGGTTAATGAACACAAACTGAACTATTTAACTTTTCAACAACGATTAAATTACAAAAAGATTTCTGACTTATGACTTAGCTTTGGCTTATTAATTACTCATATAAGGAAGACATCATAATCATCAATTTATCAAATGTTTTTGTCATTAACGATAAACCATTAAATGTATCACAAACATGAATCATACAATTATTGCGCCACAAGGCCAACAATTTCACTGTCTACTTTGGAAACTGGAGGGTTTTCTGCGATTGAAGCATCAACTAATCTCCCAGAAAGGGGTCGTTATTCTCCGCCTACTTGATTGAAACGAGATCCCACAACCCATTTATTTTAAAACAGATTTTTTTCTTTCTTTTGCATGGAAGTCCTTTATGTTTTTCTCCATATCTCATGTGGCTTTCCCTGCTTAAACACTTGAAAACTGGCCCATGATTCTCACCCCCAACAACATTGTTTTGTTATTGCCAAAAAATAATGGTAAAATATTTCTTTCAGAGATATTTGCCATCAATTAAAATTCCTTTTGGTCATATATTAAAATTTTACTTTTGTATCTTAATCTTTAGCATGCTGGTATTTTAAAGCAAATTGGACAATAAGGAAGGGAATGAGGTGTGTGATGGTAGGTAGGAGAAGAGAAGCAAATCAGTAATATCCCATGGAAAAGAACAGTTTATTTTTATTTAAAAGATGCATTTTATCATTTAATGACTTTAAACTAGTTTGAACACGCCAGTTTCCAAAGGTCATCGCTATGTTAAATACTTGATCAGCTACTCCTAAGAGATAAATGCCAAAAGAAAAGTCCAATTTAACAGAAGTAAAGATTTAAAATTAAAATTAAACGTAGCATTAGAAATAGAGAGAGTTTTGTTCATGCTTGACATGTGAGAGTATAAAGTGATGAGTTCTACAACAGAAGTACCGTACCGTTATCATTTTGGTTTATCCTCCCTATGGGAAAAGGAAAACACTCATATCAACACCACAGTTTAAATCATGTAATCAACGACCACCTCATCCAAATGGATGAAATGACTTTCACTTGAAGTAACAATTCATAATGAATGGAGTGAAATCGTAGTTTTGATCGTTATCATGTATAAAGACCGCCATAATAAGCCGCAGCCTAGTAGTTGATGCGACTTTATATCATATTAACGTAAGAGAAAATCCAAACTGTATTACACTGCACTCACACGACGCTTTCTCAATCATTATAACTTGTTATCAGTCAAGGTAAAACACATCTGTATACGTGATATTGTTCTAAACAGCCAATTCAAGTGCTGTCGTTATTGTCCAACAAAGGTTCAAGTGCTTGCCTTGTTACTATCATGTGAGGGTAGATATGTTTTACCTTGTAAGTGATGTTAGATACAGCAGCCATTTAAACACTGCCAACTTTTACATTTTTCTCCAATTATAGATTATAAACAGATCGTCTCCAAAGCAGCATGTGGACCAGTGATTTCACTGCGGGTACATTTTTTTTCAAAAACACAATTCACTCAAGAATACCACGACAACAAACAGCAGCATGTTAGAATTTCAAAGGAATAGCTTCAAACATATAATACCTCTACAATACAACACACCATTATCAGTTTATTGTGAATTTTTGGGGCAATATTGCTTAACTTTGGCCCGACATCAAAGGGTTATCACGCTTTAAGTTTGCACGGATGTAAAAACAAAAATTGTTGATAGGAAAGGTTGCTGGCATGTTGTGGTTTATAATGCTCAGTACTTCCTCATCCCTTCCCCACCCACATTCTATACCGCCAAATCTATACTGACTACATTCAACTTCACTTGCAGTGTAATACATACACAACTAATTTATAGCATGCTTCAAACATTTGAATGCTAAGCCCTAATTTGTATCTGTGTATTCATGATCTGGCCAATATTAAATTTCTGTACTGTTTTAAGTGAATTGGTAGCTACCCTTTGCCAACTAATTCCCGCAGGACGAGAATTTCCAAATATAGCTGAACTGAGCTTTACACAAATTGAACATAATTCAAACCTAGAAGATTCTTTCCTATTAACATTTATATACTGAGGCAAAATACACATCATCTTTTATCATATCCCTTGAAACCCCAGGCATGGATGTAAAGGTCACGACAGTCACCATCAAACCTTTCAGTTCCATTTTCTTCCCTCGTAAAACACTTTGAAGTATAACGCCAAACATTTTCATTATGACCTATCAAAGTTATGATTCTGATAGATTTGTACACGTAATGAAAATTAATCTGGTGGAGCCATTACTGTACATCAGAATGTTCTAGACTCTCTACCACACTAATGTAGTAAGTAATGATGAATCATACACTGCTCACAACGTCCCACACAAGCCAGCACTTGTTTGTATCACAAGTATTTGCCCCTCTCTCTAGCAGACTAGTACTTCAAAATGTAATAAACCTGATTAAAATCAAGCAATTATTAAAAACTTCATGTAAAATATTACACATATAAACACGAAATCCAACAAACACACACTCATCCCTTGCTATTTGTGAACTTAGATGCAATCACATCCAAATTTTAACATTAAAATGTTTTCCTATGTTAATATTTCTATGACATTAGAATATACATAGTTTTCAATGCCACTTTTTGTGTTTTCAAATCAAGACAAAAAGTTGCAGCGGCAATTAGGATAATTATTTAATGTGCAACAATTAACGCTAAGACATTTAATCACGAGGTACATCATACTCATTAACGAGAAACAAATAGGATGCCTTATAATCTCATCCAAAAACACTGCACTTTGACTTAAAACTCCTTGTAGGAAACAGGCTTCAAAATTTTACAAAAACTGTCTGAATGTTAAAACATCAGCTGTGGTGCATCGTACAACTTAATAGCGGATGATATTACGGCAGCTATCAATGCCAACACCTACCCATATTGTTCATGTTCTGTAGCATCCCCATGTTTCCCATGTTTCCTCCCATGTTTCCTCCCATGTTTCCCATGTTTCCCCCGGCAGCAGCAGCTTGTTGCAGCAGCTGAAACAGTAGAATATGGACCATGGTAAATAAATATGAAGCAGATAATACAAATAATCACACACAAAAGCCATGAAAACTTCATTAATTAAGCATCACACACTTAATTATCATTCATTAACCCTTTCACCACTGTAGACCATAATGGACTCATCCAGATCAATGCATGGTAGAATCTACTAAAGTTACATAGGGGTGAAAGGGTTAACTTTAAATACACAATAATTTGTAACTGTAGAGGTTTCTGGTTTAATGGTTTACACCGTTATTTTATACATGTTTTCAATGTGCTTTTAATAACATTGGTATAATCAAGAAAGTTGTAAAATATTGAAATAATTATAAGGAGACCTTCTCTAGGTCTGTTGGCAAAGCTGTATGAATATTGTTGTGGTATAATGAATCAGTGCCACCAACACAAGTACCTGCACCAATTCAATAGTCTTTGTGTAGTCACAACCAAAAACATGTACACAGGGCAGAGTTGACCCTTTCACCCCTGCAGACCATAATGGACTCCTCCTGATCAATGTACAGTAGAGTGTACTAAAGTTACACAGGGGTGAAAGGGACTTTTACATCCTCACAAATATATACGGATACTTTCTTTTCAATAACAATGTCCAATAAATATTATGGATAAAAAGTGTACAAATTTCTATCATTGCCTAGTTTTGCTAGAGGTACCTGTCTGACAGTCATCTATCAGTATCAAAGTCTGCACCTGAGCTACACAAATTAGGCGGAGGTGTGGTAATATTTACTGACTGATGTTCCCTGGCCCATTAATCCAAAATATATCATACTCATGTACAGTGCTTGTCTTTTACTGCTAATGATAGGGAGGGGGCACAGATACAGACCAGAAATTCATAACACATTCCCTACAACAGGTTTAGAAAAGGCATCACTTATATACAACTATTCCAGATAAAAGCACACCAAGGATCGCAGTGTATAGCAGCAATCCATCAAAGAAATTCGTAATTAATTGATAATTTATTACCTTTGTTTAAATGTTGTTTGTTGATAGCTATTACACACAATATGATATATTGTTTAATTATTACGGTTATTTAAGTGACATGTTCAATTTTTCCACAGTTGATCACCTAACTATACTTTTTGCCCTCATCAATTCCCCATTACATATAATGGGCTGAATGGTTGACATTCTAGATACACTTGGAAGACATATGATATCACTAACAGATTCTTATAAAAGCATCCTTTTCTAGTAATAACCAACTCTTGACACAAAAGAAACAACAAAGTACCTTGGAAAGTTACACATGGAACCGCTAGCACTTGAACGTCCTTGTTTTACCATAGCGATGTGCTAATACATTCAACCACAGCAATGTCCCAACAAAATGTTCCTTACATTGTGCATTGTTGATCCTGACGCACCGAACAACCTGGTATTACGTTTATTAAGCTGTAGTCATAAAAAAGTAAGGACTTAAAATAGGCTAGATTCTGGGGGGCAGATCTAGACTTGTGAGGATGTTAACAGAAACCCTTCATCCTTACACAAGAGGCACCCTTTGGAAGACTGAGCCAGGACAGGCAATGCTGAAGAAACTTTTTTATTTACACTGTTAAAACAGGGGAAGATATGAGCAGCTGTTCCGTTCAGTTGGTGGTGGGTTTGTCCTCCTCTTCCCTTACAATGTGTCGATATCTATCATCTGTGCTTCGTACACACATGTATTATTTTGTTCCAAAGTATCTATAAATTTTCTCATTCAGTTTCTCACTAAAAGACTGATCAAAAGGTTCCTTCAATCTAGACAAGTATGGATTCATTTTCAGAGGTTCTTTTTAACATTTTTCATCAAAGCTGAATATGTTAGGAGTGTTTTTTCTATACGTTTATTTTCCAAACGGTGAGCATCTTTAAATTTCGGAGTTATCAAGCATTGATCTAAATTATGAAGGCAGTAAATGCTTTTTGCATCTATGGATTCTTTTCTGTGCAATGAAAACCTTTCTTGCAAAATGTTGCAAAACATGATATTTTTGTGTTTATAGCAGTGATGAAAATTATTTAAACTTAAGATTGCATAATTAACTCGGCATACCATCTGAAAAAGTAACAATATCGTTTTTCATCGTATCACTAATGAACAAAACTTTGTTGGAGGACCAATGATGGCCAATTCCTCTTCACACATAATTTCATGTCTAGATCATTACATGTATATATCGCCCCGTTCCTTTGACTTACTTATGCGGCAAGACTTTTTATATTAAGCAAATCAAGCTCTGATGAATGAGTTTTTCATTTAATACTCCATTTCAAAAAGGCAAGATATTAAAGAGCGATTAATCTTAATTTCATACCAGGGTTGCCTATTAATGTCCCGATGAAGCATGGTACGAGATATGCCCCGGCACAAGAGTACAGATCTTCCTGGCCTCGATCATTAGATTGAAGCATCCAAGGAATTTAACAGTCCGAACAGGTAACAAAATCACTTCACATTTTACAGAAATAATACACCAGCCCCTCCGACCCACTGAAATGTTAGATTTAGGGACCCCTCAGCCAAAGAGTTTTTCTACGCCCTTTAAATGGAGCTGATTAAATATAAGATCACTCATTCTGGCTACAGCAGAGTTGGGGCCATATTTTTTCTATATTTTTTCTATATTTTTTCGGAATGTATGCTGCTGGGCCAATGGCTTTTCTGAATTAGAGTAGCCTGGCAGCACGGGGAACAAGCAACAGTGGGTGAATGCCACCAAGGGATATTGGACTTAGTTTTTGCAGTTTTTAGTTAATTTCCCATAATTCTATGCCGGTTCTGACAAGGTCCCCTGCTGGTTAGTGTGGTCTTTAGACCTTACTGGCTGGCTATTAACCACCAGAATGAGTGTAGTATACACAGCTCACAATCTCCAAAACTAATTCAGTTAATCTGGCGAGAATCCTCTAGCACTCTGGCTACACAAATGATATCCTTATGACGAAAAAACGGCACTTAGTCTAGTAATGGAGGGGAAGCACCATTATTGACTGGCAGAACAGATGCACTACAACTAACTTATTATTTCTCAGGTGCTTCGCTGCTTGCCAAAACAATTAAGAAATGTCTACCATTTTATCATTGCAAAATCTTTTTCACATTCTGCTTTCCAGGTTTTATTCTGAACATGTACGATGTTGATTTTCTTATATACAAGCCTTATTGCGTAGGTTGCATCCCGGAAACAGACTCCTAAAACACTTCCTCTATAATGATAAACTCTGTAAACATCTCAAGGCAGCGAGTTCATAGCATATAAGAAGCCAGTAAAACTACATATAAATATTAATACTGCGACCTTAAAGAAACCTTTTCTGATCAATGTTTCAGAGGACAGGATGCTTCGACTCTGTCTATATACATATATTTCATAAAGAAACCCCTATAGCTGGCGTCAGTTACACAATATTCCTCAGGTGATGTTTTCATCCCCCTCTCCTCTTACGATGATCAATCAGAAATATTACTTCCAAAGACATTCCCGCCCCAAGTACAACAATCTGGAACGGGGACGTGGATAGGAAACAGATTGGTTAGGGAAGCAGGTTCTCAATGAGATGAGTCAGAATCATTGCTCCTGTACGAGTTTGGATCCCCTTGTGCTGCCCTTACAGGTCACCAACCCTACTCAACAATAGAAAGCCAGGGAATAACATCCCAGTCTGCCACTCAAACAACAGCCAGATAATTTTACGTGTCGCAGCAGACATTGTTACCACATGGCCATGACAGGATTTAAAAACGTGCTCCTTCAACAGTAATCTATTCCTGGTAATTATACGACAACTGCTCAAATACTGAAACTCAGAGGCAGAAAAAGCCGTTGAATGTATGATGCAATCCCATCAACAGGAATCGTATTAGAATGTCTGCAATAACCATGCAAACAGACTGATCACCGACACCCCCTCTAACAGATATTTTGCGATCTAGCTTGCGACATAACCACAAACTGGCAGCCAACATTCTGCTGCCTATCCAGCAATATTTCCTCATTCCTATGTAGCTATTAAGATCTTTCTTTTTGGCTAGAAAATTGCCCTTCCCCCTCCTCCAGCTCTATGATGATGGGTTTTTTATGTAGGTAGGCGATCAGTGTCAATGTTTCATGACGAGTGCTATCAATTACTTTCCCTCATTATTGTGATAATCATTATTTCTGGTAACACAGATGGCTATCCTAAAGTACACTTGATCCTGCCAGCAATTACTTATTTCCATTTTTTACCAATACGAAATAAAACATAACAATTGTCTGAAAACTTGTGTTTTTACATCCATGTTTTTCCCTTCACATATCCAAGTTGATTCAGCTGTTTAAGCAGCCACTAAACTGGTATTCAATTTGATGTTCAAACATTTCAATAAAATATTGATCATATGCCAGGCTTGATGAAATTAGATTTTGGTTTAGCTCCAAGAATGTTTTTCTCCAGGTTTATTTGTGCAGGGCTCGAGTTGAACAATATTGGCAATTGTGTGAAAAGCAACGTCATTAAAAACCTAGGAATCCTAGCACAACGATCTAATCATCATTACTTTCACTCTTACTTCTGTTGAAAACATGCCAGACATCAAATTTCTCATTCATTGGTCCCATGTATTTTGTCTTTCTTTCTTAAACGTTACCTAACAATATGGAGTATTCATAAGCTATGCACTGTGGGCTACCTTGTTCTTATAGACGTAGGCAATGCCCTGTTTTGATCATTGTAATGCAGTGATACGGGACAGTGCCAGGGTTCTCTCTCTATATATATATATATACGTACAGTGAGATACTGTGGGGCCATGTTGTTTCCTACGGACATATTCCAAAGGTTGGCACTCATTTGTTGAAGTTTTTTCTGTTCTTTTTCTTTTTGTGTGTCGGCAAATTTAACAACAACTGGCGACGTACAACCCTGAAAATAGAGACAAACATTTATACAAGTCGGACATGAAAGTGATTCAGATCTTTATGATACAAGCATTTTGTTAAAATAGCAAGGAATAGCTTCAAGCTTATAAATACAAAATGAAGTTTATTAACTGTTCAATATTTGTCAACAGAAATAAATAAATATCTTGTCTGGGCTGTTCTAGAACTCTTTGCTGGTGAAAAAAAAAAAAACTTTTTTTTTCTTCTTTTTTTTTCCACATTCTTGTCAAGTAGTTTCACAAGAGAAAGAAAAAACACGGCATGAAATACTAATTACAGCTTTATATTTCCATAACTAAATTTTCTGTAGTCAATACAGTACTTTTCATAGATGGTGAAAGCTTATACAAATACAGCCACTGAAGTAGACATATGCATACATGATAATGTACTATATAAGTTAATGATGCGACACCTGACAAAATTAAACTCAGCGTGAATATCTAACTATAGCCCAAACCATCGGTATAAATAGTACTCTACAAACTTCCACCTCATAAATGTTGGCCTATCTATAGCTAGCCACACATCTGATAGATACAGTAAAATGTGTTGATGACACGGTGCAGTAGGTGCTTAGTTACTGTAGTAGCTCTCCTGTTCCCCAGGGAAGGCCTGTTACACTGGCTTTACCACTCCATTGATCCATCCACAAATACCCATAAAACAAAAGCAGTATCGATCTGCCAGGACAACCTTCAACATTCTCCATTCTCTCACTTGCATATAAAGGAGATTTTCTGTATCTGAGAAAGATGTTCTATTCCCCCATCCTTATGAAATCTTATCTTAATCAATCGGCCATTTACAGGATTTTTTCCCAAACCGCAGGCTGTGAATATTTGATTTATAATGTTCTATTAATCTAACCTTTTGTTTTCTAAACCTTTCAGAATATATATATGTATGTGACCTTTCTTTACAAACAAGATGCCCAACAGACAGATGTTCAATTTATATCTATAATACCAATTCAGAATAAATGATACAACTGACAAATTGCTACATAGTCTAATGTTTAAATATTGAGTTATTGACTGGGTTTGAAGGCAACAGATGTCCCTTCAGGCAGAGCTGTTACCCAAGGCCAAACACTTTAAGTACTCAAAGGGTCCAGTACAACAGGTGTTGACCAAACAGCCAGTCAACATCTGTTTTTATATTGTTCTAAAAATATTGACGTGATTGCTGACCTCACCTGATCACATACATTTTTCTTTTGACCTATAATTTTACTTCCTTTGACCGATTATAATTTTCCTTTCGATCAGTCATGGGAACGATCGTTTTCAAAACCTATCGAGTTTAAACAGAGACATCATTATAGGGTAAAACATTGAATTCTGTTACAAGGCCAGGAAATATGTTAGCCCTACAACGTATCATCTTCGATGTTCTATCACTGATGGTTGATACTGTAATTCCACTAGATAATCACATTTACACAATAATGAACTTTTTTGTTTCTACTTGCATCATATTCAGGTTAACTAAGAAACAAGCTGTTTAACAGAAGACCATTGGCATTTGATTAATTTGCAGAGCCAGTAATTATTTTTACCTTGCTGGAGAACTAAAGCCGTTGGTTATAACGAGGAACAATATTGCTCCAAACCGACAGGCAGTCATCAACCTATACTTACCTCCATGGTCTGGGAATGATGGGTACTCTTTATGGCATTCTGTGCAGATTGTCTGTTCGCATATGTTACAAATGCACAACCTGTGAAAATATAAGTCAAAATATACTAATGAATAATATTTTCTTTATTGGACTGCAATTTTAATACAAATTCAAAATTGAATTTCCATTGATAAAATATATCTATTGAACCCCATTTTTTCTCTTACAAATAAGGGAAACCAATTATGTTCTGTTTCCAAATATGGGACATTTGGGACTCGAGGAATTTTATGAGTATCTATAACTTATTTTCACATATAAAATGATGAATTTCACCAATGGCATTTCTTACTGAACCAGTTAATAGATTTAGGAAAAAAAATTCTCAGAAATAACCCATCACAAGTGAAGTATAAGTGCACCTACCTCACTTATCAACTCACCATTTTTAGGAGTGGCATTGATTTTAATTTATTGTTTAAGTTTAGAACTACATATATATAAATCACTGATGTAGAAATACCGCCCCATAACAAGCTGACCACATGTTCTGCAGACAAACGCCAGCGCAGACAACCCTAACACACATGTAGGTACCATGTGGATGACGAGGTAATTATAAGATGTGTACTTGATTATTGCTGTGTCTATACACTCTCTGATGTGAAATAATGTTACATCACTGTCATCCCTTGAATGTTAAAGCACCTAGACGAGTTATTTCTTTGAAATTAAAATGTGTGTCATAGGCAGACATCAGTCCACACCAATCTAAAGTGGGACATCTGAAACATGTGATTTTTGATTCCAGATTACCCTAATTAACTTTCAAATAATTTTTTGGCAAATTCATATTTCCTCAACCATATTTCAATCGTCATTACAACATTTTAAACATTACTGAAAATGTTAATGACTAAACACAAGAGCCTCGAGTCTTTGGAATCGTTACTATTGATCATCCTATTTATTCACGTGGAAAAGAAAATCAATGATGACAACACCAAAATGAAATATTCCAGCTCGTGTTGCCTGTAGCTGTACATGAAATGACCACTATCTCAGGACTGTTATCATTTTATTCAAATTTTATTAGAACTCCTGTTCCAATGATCTGGAAACGTAATCAAAGAGAAATCCAATTGAGATACAGAGTCAATAATGTGGTAAATTAAAATTCAGTTTTAGATCTGTCTAAATTTTATACAAGATATTCGGATATTTTTAGAAAGACTGCCAATGTCTCAATGACAGTTATAACTATCGAAAAATAAATCTAGAAGTCACAATCCAGATATAAAACCTAACACTCTTTCATAAAACATAAATGCCTGCACAGGAGACGTTTAGGTATAAAGGCGACCATAAACCTGATTAAACAGTATAAAGCTTATTTCACGTATAATGAGAACCTTCCGTAACACCCAATATATCCAAGGAGACATTTTCACCTATTGCCAACGACGCAGAGCCATTGCCACGGTAACTGGACGCTGGGATCAATACCTAGCAAACACTAAACCCTGATCGTTGACGATCATGTACACTGCCAATATATCAACGGTCTGCACCGCTCGTGTTCTGCACACATGACACAGTGTTTAACCAAATAATAATGATAATTGGATTTAACTAAATATAGATTTCCTATCCAGAAGTGGTATTCTATACACGATTTCAATGTTGATCCAATTCACACAAATTTTCAGTAAAAGTTTACTCAAGCCTGTATTGGGTTATACAAATATTTCGTTTGAGGTTTGAAACATTTGTTGAATCGGAAGAAGATAGATGTCACACTTTTTAGTGTGTAACATATATTTAAATAGGGCAGAATCTCTTCAGCTGAAATGTTGGCAAAATGGAAAACTTACAGTATTATATCCAGGGTATCTTGGGTATCTGATTAAAATCATCAGAATTCATAATAACACAATATTACTAGCATGAAAAGAAATCTGGTGTTTTCAAACAAAAGAGCTGGTAGGATTTAACATATATTTAGGTGTGAAACAGTAGAAGGAAACAATAAGTATATCATTATCTTATGAAGAGCTGAATTTACCTTTAGGTGGGATAGGAGCTTTATTTAGTGTATCCTTACCTTTACTCTGGCCGTTCTGATCTCGTAACACTGTACAGTCCTCTATCGTCCCGAACGGTGCAAACATCATTCTCACATCATTTTCTGAACATTTCTTTGACACCATTCCAACAAAAAGTTTTCTTTCCTCTGAAAACACACACAAAATATGAGAAGACATTAATTTAATTATCCAATGTGTTCACCTTGTACTGGTATCAAAACCAAAAACAAACCTACCACACATCTTCAACAAACACAGACCTAAATAAACAGATTCAGATGTATATTAAAAAGGTTTTAATTCTATCTGATAGGAACATATTACATGAATTGTATCCCCACTTTAGCCCACACTTCTCTGTTCAGAGAGTCGGCTCTCTGTCAGAGTAGGTTAGTTCAAAAACTGTATCACCTTTGCAAGCTAATTCCTTTGGTAGTTTCTAGGGGAGTAGTTTCTAGAAGAGCAGACTAACTCCTTTGGCAATTTTCTGTTGTATCCTTACAGAAGTCTAAGACCATACGATTGCAGGTGGTGTTCAACTAAGGAAACATATCTTGTCTCAAGGAGCAAGAAACTTGCTATGTCCCTCAAGCCCAAGCAGCGGGTAAAATCAAACAATGAAACAGAACAATCACAGGAAAACATAACTCTGGCTATGGAAACTCTTCTCCATCTGATTAACATCACAACATTTATTGATTTGGTTTGTTTGTAAAAGTTTCATAAAAATAAAACAGCTGTGTACAGCATTTGGGCCATGAACTGTCGGCACCTTTTACCTGCACAGTAAGGATTCATACAAGTGAATGACACCATTTGTGATCTATATATATAGCACGGTATAGTAATGTTATACTACACCAAGGTTACTCAGTAACTACAAATAAACCTGGTCCTACCACAGAGTTTATGTCAGGGCCAACAGTATTAGTCTACACATAACACACACTATATACCTGACAAAGTTAATTAACACTCATGTTGTACAGATTAATTACACATAAAGAATAATAACATTTTCTGTTTGGGAGCCAACACATAATTGGTAGACATGGGGCAATTAGCAAAAACCCCTATCTAAATAATCTAACTGCTCCCCCTTGTGACAAATAAACAAATGTATCTAGGTCTTCAAAAGGTGAAATGTAATCATCCTTTCTCTCCATGGCATTTTAAATAAATCAAGCTCCGTAACAAAACCCCCATTATGCCTTTGAAATTAACAGATGATATCCCATATTTGAAAGGACTTAATGTGAAAGATAATTTATGCAATTATACGACAAACAATTTTTCAGTGAAAGTTTGTGATCGAGTGAAAAAAACTTTAGACTGCAACATTAATTGCTTAACCTTTTGACAGTCCAACAAAAGAGTTCATCATGCTGTACTTAATATATGAGTAACCTGTCTGCAAACTACTTTAGCTCATAGGAAACTGACATTTATACATGCTTACTTTCAGCCAATCAAAAAAAAAAAACTTTTTTAAATTTCAATTTCTTTGCTACGTAAAATACTGTATATATATACATTTAATTACAGACTTCCTTTTACTTAGCACTTGTTATAACACCATATGGTTTCTTTATATTACAGTTCTCATTAACCTCTGTATGTAGACTTATTAATCAACTTGTCTATAACAATGCTTCAGACTGCATAAAATGGTTATTTTGGAAGGTCGTTTGATGTCATGACTTGAGCTTGTCACCGAGTTAGAGAGAATATCCTACTTAGAATTGCACAGCTTTTAAACATGACAGCCATTCTAAGTAGAGAAAAGCTATCTAGCTTATAACCTTCCTACAGAAAGCCTGAATATAACTTGAAAATCCTCTATGGAAGTGGGTGCAGTTAGCTAGAACCATGGCAAAGTATACCCACTAATATTTACTAGGATCTAGCTTCTCATTGCAGGATTGGTTTTTCAAGTTTCGAAATATTAATTAAATTCCTTGATGTTTAACCTGATCATCCGAACTATACAGTGAGCCAATGTATTCCTTCATAAAAACCTTCAAAGCAAAAATTGAAGGTCTAAAAAGCCAGGAGATGTAGAGATTCTAGAACATCTGACCATATGTCCACTTGTCTACATGGAGAGGGCTATGTAAAGGAGTCCTGTGGGGGCTGTAAATCACACGGCACATGTATCTCCATCCCCCCTACCAATCCTCCTACCATCTGATAAGCATGTTTCTCTGACAAAAACTACACCATTTCATGGGTCATTTGGTGCAAGACTCCCAAGTAGCTAAAACCTCATCGCAAAAAGTGATTTCCCATATGAACATTATCCACTATAGATGTATGTATTTAATTATCCAATCCTTTATCTTGTTCAAGGTTTTCACTCATTTTAATCCTTTTCCTTTTCTTTAGGAAATAATCTATGTTTCTGAAAGTCAATTCTACTACTTCATAATGTAAGAAAATTGAAATTTGAAAAAGAAAAGTAAAAAAAAAATGAAAAAATAAAAAGTTGAAAGCATCAAGTATCTAGATTTGGCTGAAATATGATGATATAATACATCTACTCCACAGATGTCAAATTTCGAAACAGAAGTTTAAAGTTGGAAACCAGCTGCATGTTTCATCATGTGTATATGCATCATGTGTTATGATTCCATTTAGAAGAAGGTTTTTTAGCTGCACGATATTTAGAAAATTAAAACTCAACTTACATGTACCATCAATGCATTTTTATCTCGCCTCTATGATAATATTGAATTGCATTTTCTTTTCCTTAATTTATTTCCTTTTTGGTTGGGGGGTGTGCTTCAAACATATTCATGCATCAATTATCAACTCTAAGCCAACTCTTAAAACTATTCATAAAACTAACTCGACAACCCTGTGCATTTTTGTATATAATTTTGATTGAAAATAGAAAATTCAGCAAAAATCATTTAGAAACAATATTTTTCCTATTTCGTGAAGTGTGGTTCTTAATTGGAGTTTATTCTCGTAAGTTACATTGACAAACCATACTAGGTAGGAAGGAGATGCACGTATTAATGAGGAGTGTAAGATGACCTTGGTTTTGTTTCCCCTAAGGTGATGAATTGCCACTTAATATAAATCTGAATTATCAATAAACATATGATGTGTGCATGTTTAGTGATAAGGAAATAACTGTGTTTTCGATCACTGCAGCTTGTTAACACCGAGAAGGAAAATGCACAAAGCAGATCTCTCAAATATAATATTAAGCACAAAACAGATCTCTCAAATCTTATATTAAGCACAAAGCAGATCTCTCAAATCTTATATTAAGCACAAAGCAGATCTTTCAAATCTTATATTAAGCACAAAGCAGATCTCTCAAATCTTAATATTAAGCACAAAGCAGATCTCTCAAATCTTATATTAAGCACAAAGCAGATCTCCCAATCTTATTTTCACTAAAAATAGGACAAAATTTAATCTGTTATCTGTCACAACATCCTGGAGGTATCACTTGCTATGCTATTCTTTATATTTACTTCCCTAATTCGGGGCCCTTCCTAAATTTATATATGGATGTTTGTAGGGAGAAGATTTGGTATTTAATGTGTTTGAGGAAAACTTACAATACAAAATTATGAAATAATGTTTAGAAATTATAAGACGTACCATTTCTTTTTTCACTGTCGGCAGGTTTCATCTGTATTGGATGATGCATCTGAAAAGATAACAAAAAGGAAAAAAACATTAAATAAAATAGAGATTGTGTTTCACATGGAATTAATTACTTGTGAAAAACAATGAAACATGCAAGAGTGTATTTTATAATGAACATCATCTTTAAATAATTTACAACCCAGCCCATAACATTGTATGATCATATGAAGGTCTATTTGCAATTTCCTTTGTTTTAAACTACCTCCTCTTCCTCAATAAACCTCATTTTTTAGCATCGGGAAGAATCCAATTTCTTCTACCAGTATCAATTCTCTTGTTTTATACTACACACAGACAATACTTAAATAAATAATAACTAGAGATTTGTTTTTGTGATGTTTTCCATTATTAGCAAATATGCATAATTGCTTGCATTTATTTGACCTTGAGCCTAGAGGTGATGGTCACAGTGACCTAAATACAGTGCACTGCACACCTTCTATGGTGCATGCATGATATAAATAACTGTAAGTGGTTTGATGAAGATATCTGCAACATTATTTCAAATCTTTACACTTAATTGAACTTTGACCTAAAGAACAAGGTCATGATGACCTTATTACATTGCAGATAAAGGTAATACTTCTGCCAGAAATGTAAGTTTTCTTGAAGATTTCATTAAGATATATATCCAACTGTTTAAAAGTTGTAATTCTACCGAAAACTTTGCTGCACGATCTTTGATATATATATTTACTGTGCACTGCACACATTCAGTGTATGATACAGGTACACCTCATGTTTCATCAAAACATCTTTGCCTATTTTAACCCTTTCACCACTGTAGACCATAATGGACTCATCCAGATCAATGTATGGTAGAGTCTACCAAATACCTACGGGTGAAATGGTTAATGTTAGTGACTATCTGAAAATTTTGCACTTATCTGACCTTCATCAGGTCACAGTGACCTAATTACAGTACGTTTCACTTCTTCTGTGGGTGATAAGGTAAACTTCAAGTTTTATCAAAATAAGTGAACTACTTAAATGTCAAGACCCAAATAAGATGAAATTTGAAGAACCAGAAGAACCAGTATATCTACAAATATGTCTCCCTGTCATTCAAAGAGTCACACAATAACGTGTTTTCAATATAATATATGTTGTGAATTAATTAGCTATAGGTCACTGATAATGAAGGGGAATTGTAATATTTCTACACGACCAGCTGCTGTGTCATGGTGTTAATGAAATGTTAGTTTTCAGCAAACTTTACAAAATGTGACTTGTGTAAACTGCCTGTATCCAATATATGCTTCCATCAAACTTCAGCAACAGCCTTCAGCTGAGCAGATTAGCTACAACAATCAAACTCCTATCAGATATAATTAATATTCATATCAACACATAAAATCTACAGCAATTTGAGTAAACAACTAAGAAGTGATAGATAATGTGTCAAAACTGTTCTGGCTTGTGTACCTCAAAAATCTTGTGCTTTTAAATGCTGGTGCGTGTTATCAATCAATCAATCGTGTAAAACAACTATTTAAATTGAGCAATATATAACTCAATCATCCAAAATTATATGTGTACGCAAGAATGATGTTTCTGAAACAAGTTAATTGATCTGCAAACACAGTATATAGAAAACCATTAAAGTTATAGCTTTGTTCAACATCAAGTATGACGAAAAAGTTTGTATCCAATCCTCCCTGGATTTTAACATGATGAATAATTGACAGAGTGAACAAAACGAGGCAATGTGACAGGGTTTACACGAACTGGTAGGAGACCTGTCAACTCGTCGATAATATGGAGAGAAACCTACTGCAATATTGATACCATGGTGCCACCTCATGCAGTTCAAATTTAATTCTAGAAGCGAGAGAAGAGGAACTGTCGGTGATCCTCATCATTAGGTACATCTCTGCAAATCATCAGGTCTGTGTAAACTGATACTGAGAGATATAGCCAGTAAATGTCAGAGTCGGGGTGTCTAAACATTAACAAGCTGCCTGAAGGCCTGGCCAGGTGTCTCTCAGGTAACTCCTGCTACCTTACAGGTGAACAGCATTAAAATACCAGTATACACATAACATGTGAAACCTTTCAACACGAATACTTTATATCACTATTTAAACTTGGCAAAACCTCAGTTACATGTTGTAATGGCCATTACAAACATGTTGTTATACTTTTTTCCCCAGTAACTTTATATTTTGTGTGAGCAAACTCATGTTACATGAAAGGAAACAGCAGCATACACACAGGCAGGTCTATATCTGGAGTGACCCTCCGTTATCGTCTTATGTTTAAGACTGGGGCTCATCAACACGACTATTGTTTAACAATTTCTTGGTGTTAGCCAGAAGGCCCAGGCTCAACCTGTCACTTTCTTTGACTGCAATCTTTCACAGGACACAGCAACACATGATCATGACCACGATGTATATAAGCTAGCCAAGTCCAATCAATTCGAAACTCTTCTTTTTTTACTCGAACGTCACAACTCTTTATTTTCCCAATCAAACTTTCCGATCTCATCAAAATATTAAATACCCAACTTAAAATGTTTGGCCTTTGTAAGTAATTCTGCATTATTACCGTAGACTGTTTTGCTTTAAATAGGTTATGAAGTATTACGTTACGTTTTTTAGTGATATAGTATAAAACACTTCTGTGTATGAAACTAATTGCTTGTTTTTCAATTTTTTTTACCTGATCCATAAATGTCACAACATGGACGCTATATTTTTTTCCTATTTGCAATCTAGTAATATCTTTATCAGTTCATTACACCTACAGCTCACCAAATTATACATGTATATCCCAAACTAAAGCTATCAGTGAAAATCAAGACACGCTGCCAAGTCATTATAATTCAAGACACGCTGTCAAAAATCACCTGTTTAAGTCACCTCACTATCAAAGATGGATGTACAAACATTTGATCAACACAAAATCAATTAGCACGATCATAACAACATGTGACAGCGATTTCCTATGCTGGGTGGTTAATTCTTCCCTAGCATCATGTGAAATTATTTTATGGAAATTTCAACAAGTCAATCTCTTGATATCAGAATCATCAACTTCACACATTGGTTCAAATGTATTAATATTTCCAAGACATAACTAAACAATGATTTGTTATGTATTTTAACATATATTATTTTCACACACTGCTTGCTAACTGAATTGAATGAGTGATATATGATACTTCCATAGGGATTGATAACTATTTGATTTGACAACAATAAATTAAATTGAGATACCAAGTTTATGAGTCCAACATAAGACTTATTATGAATATCTATATACAAATTTATTTAAATGCAGTTTTTTTCTTTTAGCATTCGTCTTTCTATTCAGGATGTTTAATATCAATTTACATATTTTTAAGTCAGATTCTATCTAAAGCCATGTGTCAGTTTTGTACCACTTAATTGGGGATCAGATGTGCCATTCTGGCAACTCATTATGATTCAAGTTTCCTTCAACCATTAAATATTTAAGTTTTAGCAACCATGCTATCAGGTTGGGCACCTCTTTACTCCCTAAACCATCTATCTGGATTACCATTTTCAACACATCAATTCTAGAAGGCCCAATTTTCAACAGTACACAAACCTAACAAAGTAATTAAAAGGCATTTTCTACAATGCAAGCATCAAATTTATGTTGGAAGAGCATGACAAGTTTCCACACCGATGGCTAAAGTTACGAGTTTTAAAGTCGTCTACTGTTACAGCTACAATGAATTAAAGAATAGGTGCCTGTAACATTTGAAGTACAATACAAAATTTAAATCTGTCTTTCATATTTTGCCATCTATAAAATTATTACTTTCGAAATCCCTGTCCCGCACAAAGGCCCATATTTATCTCTATTGTTTGATAGATCAACTTTTATAAAATAATCCTTTCAAAATAAATTTTTAAAAAATACAAAAAAAGTATTACCCGGAAGCTGCTGGATTTTATGCCAGTTGCTTGTAATAAAATAATGTTACATTAAATAAGTGTACTTAAAAATTTCTAAACAGTTTTAATTCAACTAAAATTTCAACTTGAAGTATTAACCAGTATTGATCTAATAGATATTACTACACCTTTTTCCATTCTCTTTTTGTTAGCCAAGAAATCCATTACAAGAAATACGATGAAATGAAAATGTTTAAATGAAAATGTTTAAATGAAAATGTTAACATTATTTAACTTTCAACAAACTTTCATATCAAAATATTCAACCATGTACAGGGTTTCATCTCGTAATATTCTGCTCAAAGTACGATGGAAGCAGTCAATTTCAAAATGACCTTTTTAAGCGTCTAAAAAGGTCATTATGTTCAATTAAACTGATTTCCTTATTTAGATATTTAAAAGCCAGAAGGGTTCAGCAATGACCTAGTAATGTTCAAGTATATGTGGAATTATTTTTCATTGTACAATGAACTGGAAAATGCCTAATTCACAAGTCTCATATTTCCCAAAAATTCTTTTTTATCATGCTTGAGATTGATAAACAGATAAATGTTTTGCTTAGACTAGCATTAATGTAACTTCTTACAGATCCTTTTTCACAAGAAGCAATTCAAATTTATTTTTTTCAATAAACAACGAATTGACATTTGAATAAAAAGCTGGAAGATTCAGTAATACTCAACTTTGACCTTCCAGGAGGTCTATGTTAACCATTTAAATGTACATATTCACCCAACAATGCTCAAGGTTTTTTGATTAATTGGATAAATTGGAAAAATCAGCCCAGTATACAATTTATGACTCAACAGACCCCTCCTGTAACAAAGTGGAACCCTGATTTTGAGTACTTTGACACGACATGATATACCATACCATCAAAGACGACAATTAAAATTCTGGCCTGTATTTGAAAAGTTTTGTGGCCCACAATAAATGTAAGTTATATCTAACCTGATATGTCATTAAATCATTATGAAAGTCGTCACAGTGCTGAATGACAAACCATAACTTTCTAATGAACACTTGTCAATCTACATCAATAGGTATGAAAGACATGTTCAATAGTTCTGTT